TTTGGACAAATTTCTGTGTGGCGGCTGAGAATTTGAGCGAGGCGGCCTGCCGTGTCAATGCAGGGGTAACACTGCATAACATCGACGATGCGTCACATTCTTGCTCTCGACTTCAATCGACTTCAGAACCGAAGTCACGACTTGCGTCGGCAAAAACCCTCGCCCCGGCGTATAACATTACGCCGTCGTAACGTCAGACTTACGCGAACGAGAGCGCAGCGTCAGAGAAGACAATCCGGGGGAGTTTTTATTTTCACGCATCTTCTCTGCCTGCGCTTGGAATCTATCCAGGAGCGTGTGTCCCTTCTAATTCTATACATTACCCTGTTTACGTTGACGGAAGTTTTGTTCTTTTTAAAAGGGACAAGTTCTTAGAAGCAGGTATTTATAGATATATGCGTTGCAGTGAGAACGTCTCTTTCAAACATTCTGTTAAATATGTAAAAACGATAAAGATCCTGCGCTTTGCACGTGGGAAAGTATCGAAAGAAGAAGAGTCAAACGTCGGGAAATAGTTCAAAGAAGAAGTGACCAGGTTTTCGTGTTTTACAAATGGATGACAAATGCGTAGGTGATGAAATGTTGATGCTTATTAACTCACGCTGAGGTGGCAAGCATTACATCTCCTCCCTTTTCTTCTTCTCTTCTTACTCTCTCCTCTTCGCTTCCAGCTCTCACATTCCCCATCTCTCCATTCCCCATCCCTCCCTCACTCCTACTCCTTACCTCCCTCTCGTCCTCCTGCTCTCTCCTCCCCCTTCACTCATACTTACATCTCTTATCTGCCTGCAGGGGAGGGGGGCAGTTGGACTGCCCTCTAATTCTCCTCCCTTCCCTTCCTCTCCTCCCCTTCCCCTCTTAACCCTCCCTCCATTTCCTTCCCCCTCCCCTCCCTCTCTCTTCTTCCCCTTCCCCTTCCCTCCCTCCCCTCCCTCCATCCCTCTCCTTCCCTGTGGTACTTACATCGCCCTGGTCTGCCTCCAGCGGAGGGGCGCGGCTGAACTGCTCCCTGAAGAAGAGCCTCCACTTCTTGTACTCCTCACAGACGCTGTCCAGCCGTCGCTTCCAGTACTTGCCCTCAAGAATGACAGCCTGTGCGAAACAACGATCGTTAGTCGAGGTGTTAGCCGAGATTCTACGATGTGGTGGTGTTGGGGTTGGTGGCGGTGTTATATATGTACTCGCTGAGAGGGTCTATGTCCCCCGGGGTCACTGCGAGCGTCACGCCTGGGACGGATCGCGGTATACCGGGAACGTACCCATGGTCTAGCTTCTAATCATTCGGCGACCGTACTCCCCTATGTCCACTACGAGTCTAGGAGTCGGCCTTTACTGCGCCACTCCACTAACGCTACATGCCTAAACCCTAACCTACTCCTAACCCTACGCCATATCAAATAGTGACCAGGTTCGTTCCGGTATACTGGACCGTCAACCCACCGGTAGCGTCCGGCAGTACCCTGGGGACATAGACCCTATGAGCTGTACCTCGGCACATATCTGTTAGTCCTGATAACGACAAGCGACCCTTGAGCGTAACTGTTTGTATGATAGCAACATACAGTTAACGGGGTCGGCTGTGTGGTGCGGCTCCGAGCAGCTTGGTGGTGATGATGACGCTGCAACGAGGGCACGCGCGCTGTGCGTTGCCGCATTACTAAAGCCATGGATTTAGCACACGGTGAAGGATCTACACAGCTAACAACTAACAACTAGTGCCGCGTTTAAATTGTGCCACACTACTGCTGCTGCTGTACTGTACTGTGGCTGCACTGTAGCTTCATACTATACTGTCATCTATTATGTCAACACTGGGGTACTGCCACAGTCACTACCCTGCCCGGACACACGACAGCAGACCCAGCAGCAGCAGGTCAGCACTAGCAGCCAGCAGCACAGCAGCAGCAGCAGCAGCAGGAGCAGTCCAGCAGCGCACAGCAGCAGCCAGCAGCAATAACGATGGGCGGACATACGACAAAGCACACGAGAACGAGACGACAAACGCAACAAAGATAAACAACAACCAACAATAGCAACAAATAACCAACCACAACAACATGACAACAGAAGACTCGGATAACAGTCACTTTCTGTTAGCGTTGCGCACACGCACACACTTGCCACACCACTCTTCGCGACCGCCTCACCCACGACAGCGACGCACACGCACCCCACAGACCGCACCAGTGTGCAGCACCACGCACACAATGCCACCACGTGTGAGCACATGCACAAGCTGCTTACCTTGGGTTTCGTTTGGGTTTCGTCAGCCGACGGAATCGAGAATTGGGGAGATCAGCTGGTGGCATGTCTTTCACATCTGCAATCCATAAATCAAACCTAGATCTCTCGCGTTCTCTCTTTGCTGCCCCGCTTCTCTCTCTCTCCGCGACTAGCATGTCTCTCTCTCTCCCTCGTCTCTCTCTCCTCTCATCTCCTCTCTCTCTCCTCTCTCCTCCCCTTCTCTCTCCACGTGGCACAACGTTGGCATTCTTTCTACAACCAAATTCACACATTAAAAAGAAAAACTTAAAAAGTCTTCACCATATCCGGCTTTTCATACTGGGGGTTACCCGCTTTGCAGGTCCGGGACCTGAAGCGGGATAAACCCAGTATACAGCGGGTCGCAAAAACACTTTGGCCCCGAGTTAACCAGTTTATTCCAACCTCAGGAGGTGGTTTCAGGTCCGCTTCCGCACGAGCTAACGTCCATATAAACGACTTATCCCGGAGCTAAGTTTCCGCTTCACGAAGCGGCTAAGTCGTGCGCAGTAAAAACGACTCTATCCCGGCTAAAGGTTATTCCCGCGTTATCAGCAGTCTAAACGGACTTATTCCCGAGCATAACAATTTCCCCTTCAACACATAAAACGATTATCCGAGCTACACAAAGTTATCCCGCTTCGAAGCGCGGGCCTAAATCCGTGCGAGATAGAAAAGCAGTAACAGTGTACGGGACCAAACGTGTGAATATGTAATGTTTATATATGTACAATCAACCCAGTGCTGATTCTTCCCATGTTCAGTGTTGAACGTGCGGGACACGTTTGTGGAGCATAGCTATCATCACACGTAGCGTAGTTGAGTTGAGTAGTGAATCGACCGACACGAGCATGTCGTGCGTGCGGCGTGCGTGCGGTGCGTTGTGGGTGTGTGTGTGCGTGCGTGCGTGCGTGGTGTGTCGCAGTGCGCAACCGTGGGTGTGTGCGTGTGTGCGTGGCGTGGCGTGCGATGC